TGCTGGGGGACGGCGGGACCCGCGGCCAAGCGGAGCAGCAGCCGCCGTCCTCCTCCTCGGGCTTCCTCTACCGCAGACTCAAGACGCACGAGAAGCGGGAGATGCAGAAGGAGATCCTCTCGGTGCTGGGGCTTCCTCACCGGCCCCGGCCCTTACACGGCCTCCAACAGCCGCAGCTCCCTGTGCTCCAGCAGCAGCAGGCTCGCGAGGAGCCCCCTCCCGGACGGCTCAAGTCCGCGCCGCTCTTCATGCTGGATCTGTACAACGCCCTGTCCAACGACGACGACGAGGACCGGACATCGGACGAGGAGAGGCGGCAGCCCAGGCGCCGCGGAGGGGCCAGCGCGTCCCAGCTCCGGCAGCCGCCCCCTGGAGCTGCGCACCCCCTGAACCGTAAGAGCCTTTTGGCCCCTGGACCTGGAGGCGGCGGCGCGTCCCCAATGACCAGCGCGCAGGACAGCGCCTTCCTCAACGACGCAGACATGGTCATGAGCTTTGTGAACCTGGGTAAGGATTTGGGGTAGCGTAACAACGAAGACATTGCTCTTTTTCCACTTTTCTGGGACTGGGGAGGTGCGAAGTGAGAGGGTGGAGGAGCCCTTGGCGCTCCGGTCCGGGTTGTCTAGGCGGGAACGCGAGGGTAGGCGGGCTGCTTTCCCGCCACCTGCGCCGCGGCGGTGGGCAACACGTGCGGCCCCCCTAGTCGCGGGTTGTGTTGCTCACCGCGGCCGCAGGAGGCGGCGGACTGGCCGAGGCCTGGGGCTCCCAAAGCGCGGCGTCCCGCAGGCGCGTCTTTGAGGGCGCCGCGAGCACGTTCCTCGCTTTCCCCAAGAGCGCCCAGCTCAGGCCAAGTTAATTCGGCCGTGGCAGAAAAGTCCGGCCGGGGTGTAGCCAGCCGGGAAGGAGAAGGCTTCACAGCACTCTTTACCCGTCCTGTTTTCTTCTGCACCCTTAATGCTCTGAATGCCAGTTTTCCCACCGGGACATTCAGGGAATCTGACAGCAGCTGAGAACTTTGGAAACTTGACGTGATTGTGTTAAGTGGTATTCACGGAATTGGAGGGGGGCGGGGAAGAGAAGGTTACAAAGGAAGGTGCCTGAAGGACCGCGGAAGGCGCGCCAGTCGGGGCCAGTCAGGGCTGGCACCGGTTTGGGGCTGGACCCCGAACCCAATTGGAATAACCAATCCAGTACCCTTGCTCACATGCCTTTCGCCAGTGCCTCCAAAGGCTGAACTTCTGATCAATGCTGCCCAAGCTTTACGGGCAGAGAAAGGGTGCGGGTTAGGGGCCGAGGTTGGGCGCTGAGCTGGTCTGAACCAGTTGCCAGGCAACAGAATGGAAATTCAAGGGCGTCTAAATCGAGCTCCGCCACAAATGTTCTGTGGCAAACCCGGACGGAGTCACATAGCCTCCTCCTCCCCACCCCCCCGGAGTTTTCTCATCTGTAAATGAGAACGGTTAAGGAAGGCTTTTTTTTCCGGAATCAATGCCTCCGATTAGTGTACTCTTCATTCAAAGAATGACTCAGTTTAGCGTCCATAAAAGAATGTTGGGGATGCGTTCTCCGCGGGGAGAAATAGGGGTGCAATAGGCACGCCCGGAGTGGATGCAGCGGCACTGTGGGGTGAGTCTCCACGGACTTTCTTTCCCATGGGACGCGTGGCTCAGCCCAGGCCCTAAAGTGGGTTAGCAGACACTTGCCAAAGTAGCACGCACGTCGCTAAGCCACGTCAAAGACCTCTGTCTGTCATTTAAGGACATTATTTACTTGAATGACTCTCATGTAAAATATTTTAGCGAGTTCTTTGCAAGTATATCTATGGGATGATTCTTAACTCCGCTGAGTTTGGGGGGAATAAAGGAGGAGTGGGGGTGAAGTGGGGGGATGTGGAAGAGGACGATTGGCATTCAAGTGGAGCAGAAATCTTCCTGGGAAATTCATGACATAGAATCTCACAGGGAGTGAAGGCTCAAGGCCTGCCAATCTTGCTACTTGTAATGCCAAGGGTTCTGATTGGACAAGAACTCTCACAATTTTTTGGAACTAAATCCAAAGTTGAGCTGCTTCCAGGAAGCATTCTAAGTAAATTCTCCTGCCAGTCAATGAAGTTTGGGGTGGGGGAACATGCAGAGGACCAGCACTATTCCTTATTCTAACATCTCTGCTGCTTCTGGCTTAGTAGATCACACCTCTTGCCCTCTCCCTCACCACTCCACCACCTCCGACCCCCAGGTTTCCTGGCAGCTTTGGGCAAGTGTTTTACTGCCTCCTGGGGATAGTCCCAACCTGGACAAAGTGGAGGAAGAACAGCACTTCTGGCTCTTTCAAAGAATCGTGTTATAGTCTCCATGGAAACAGTTTCTGGGCTTGGATCGAGATTCTCCACCTTGGCTACCCATTAGCAGCACCTGAGGACACTTAACAAAGGGATGCTGGGGCTGCTCCCTAGAGCAGTTAAGTCAGAATCTTTGAGTTTGTCTCTGGTATTTTTTTTTTTTTAAGTGCCTTATGTTTTTCTAATGTGCTACCATAGTCAAGAAGCACTGGCACAGGAGATCTTCACATCTGAAGGCAATCATTAAATCATCCCAGTAAGAGATTAAGAGCAATCTTGTTAGTGGCTCCCAAACATTGTACACATTAAAATCACCTGGTGGCTTTTAAAATCCAGATGCCCAGGTGGTACCCATATTAATTAAATCTGAATATGTGGGGTGGAAGCTAGGTATCAGCATCCCCAGGCGATTCCAGTGTTTGGGAACCACTGCTTTAGATGTTACTTGAAATTGTGAGAGTTGGCTTGAGGCAAGTTTGTAAAGTATGATGACATTTTCTGTGTTTAGTGACCTCCAAATTCTCGTTCCTTGCTTTTTTGACTTTTCTTGGTCTATAGGTAAACACATTTTCCTGAGTCACAGTGCTTGAAGCTGGTTGTGGACTAATCCTGGTAAAGTGATGGTTTAACATAGTATCTCCATAGGGATATTTTCATTTTTCATGAGAGATTGTTAAAGATCCAAAAAAAAAAAAAAAAAAAAACTCACTTAAAAATTACAAGAGAATTACAAAAAAAACCACTGAAAAATTCCAAGAGAATTCAACAGTACTAGTGTTAATTTCAGGCCTGGGACAGGCTGATATGGAACTGAAAGATTCCTGGGTAGAGAACTCTGTCCCAAGCCCCTCCTATCAAACCACTGGGCTTTCTGACTACAAGTTATAACTACTAGTTTGTAGGTCCAGTTCTGGACTCAACATGGGTACTTAGAGGAAAAAACCCTTTCCAATTTTTTTCTGAAAAAATAAGTAGGATTCAAGTCACAAAGTCATGCCACCTGCCATTCAAGCAATTCTATTTAATCTTAATCCATTTAGCAGTAGGAAAGGGGGATTTCATAATGAGAGGCTAAAAGGGCTCTGAGCAGAAGGACAATTCATTTGAAGAAAGTAATTGCATAGCAATGTGGATTCTCTAAGGATGTTGGGAGAATTCCACAGATTTGCTAATCCATGTCAATGGCATGTTGCATTACATGACTCATCTATTAAAGAACCTGCAGAAAGATACATATTACAGTAAGGTGTTTTTAAGTACTCATATCCCCTGAGTTAGATAAGTTATAAACTGAAAGTAAAAGGGAAAGTGTTACATAGTTGTAAACAACATTTTTCCTTGGGACCGAGGAATAATTTACTCATGAAATACATTTAAAAACCTTGAGCCTTGTCAACCAGAGTAGCTATCAGGAAGTATGAATCAACAGGATAAATTTCTCTTGCATATCCTAAATGCTGGTCATTGGACCAGCTCACTGTTGTTTATGCTGACTGTTTTAAACTCCCTCTGGGTGAATAGGCTGGGGGTGTGTAACCTCCTAAGTGTTAACTGGCTGGTGTGCAGAGTGCCCAGGGAAGCTGGTGTACTCATGAACCTGCATGCAATTAGGGCCACAAGTGCCATTTTCTACTTGTTTTCTAATGCTAAAAATGTCTTGGCAGCCTAATAAGCAAGCCTGCCAATTTGATGACCTTGGAGAAGTATCCCTAAACATCCTTCAGGTCTTAGCTTAAAATTCACCTTCTTAGAGAAGCCTTTTCTAACCACCCTGTAGAAATCAGTACTGCCGCCACCCCCACCTACTTCTTTACCATCACAGCACCCTTTTTATTTCCTTGGTTGCACTTATCACAAGGACTGTATTTTTTCTTTTTAAATTTGCTTACTCATGTATTTGTCACTCCTCTAGGATATCTGTCTCAAAAGGCAACCAGGCTTATCTGCTGTTGTAACATAAGTCCCTAACATAATTCCAAGTACACAAAAGGTGCTTAATAAAAATTGAATTCATGAAAATATAAACATATCTCTTATTTAAAATTTATGTTTTACTAATCTGGTTATCATTTGGATATGGTAGACTTGTAAGTAACTGAAGACATTTAGGACATTGAGGTATCATGGTATTTGATGTATATCAAAATGCTATATTAATAAACCTCTTTTGTATTAGCTACCCATATGTATATTAATTTGTAATATGTGTTACATCTGAGACCAGTACAAAGGTTTCTTGAAATGTCTGCATTTCAGACTTCATTTATTTATTTTTAATTAATGAGATATTGATCTCCAGATGCTAGGATAAAATGAAATAAAAGACTCATATTATGGTCAGAAAGGGGAATCAGTATGTATTAGTGCAAGTAATAAGAAACTTGTACTAAAAATACTGGCAATCTTCTGACAAAATTACTCTTGGGAAACATAAATTAGAAGAAAAATGAAATATTCCTTACTTGTATTTGTAACCAGATACACTGTACTGTCTTTTTCTCACAAACACAAGTCAGTGGTACTATTTTTCACTAAAGCTGCCTGTACTTATCAAGATTTTTGTTAGCAGAAAATGAATCCATGTCTGCAAGCTACTCACAGAAAAAGTAGTTTGGAGACTGGGGTTCAAAGAGGCAGTAGATTTTCTCCTAAAGAGATTTAAAATAGTAAATGTGAAATTCAGTGGTATTTCAACAAAGAGTTGTACAAAGTGTTCTTAAACTCAGATCAAAGGGCAAGCAGATATCATTGTTTAGACCTCAGATGGTGTTTCCTCTAGTTGTCTTTCTAAGAATGGGTATAAATCCTTTTTAAATATGCTTAATCATGCTTAGTTCCTCTATTTAAGAGCTTACCTCTGATTAGCATGGAGGTAGGATTCCCAGTGATATAACAAACTGTGTAAGTGGGAAAAAAAATCCCCAATGTTCAGAACTTTATTCAGCTTCCAATAGTTACGCTTCATCACTGTGTCTTCAGAGTTTAGCTACTTTAAATGTTGGATTTCAAATTAATATTTTACTTGAATATGGAGGGTGGGCGGGTAGGTGGGTGAATATTAGATATCAAAGGTAGTATAGCAGACTCTTAATGATAAGAGCTCTGTCATCTTTATCTATTTAGAGCTGTTATAAAAGGAAAATGAAGAAGGTAAAATTTCTTATATAAT